TTTTTTTTTTCTTTTTTTTTCTCTTCTGCGGTTTCCAGCAGATTATTTTTGTTGTAGGTATGCAAAGTACCTGTGTTGACTGTAGATAGTTCCAGAACAGTACTTATTTTCAGTTAATAATTTCGATATATTGCGTAGCCCGTGGCGTTTCAAGGACACGAAGTAAAGGGATCAGCAGCCAGTGAGATAATGTTGAGAGCTCCCTGCTCCCAGCCAGGATGGCAGCAGTACCCAGATAATACGGAGTTTGCAGCTGAGAGGTTTTTGTCACCCTTGTTTTCAAGCAATTATGTCCCCTCTGACTTCAGGCAGGTAAAACAATTTTTTCAAAATTATTCTTAGTAACCTTGGTGCAAGAAAGGAAATGTAGGATAGAAGAGAGGTCGTGTTTAGAATATTACAATCACGTCAAAACACTAACCGGTGGTTAAAACTTTGCAGTTAGGCAATTATTTTTACTCACCTTTGGCAGAAGAGTATGCTTTCACAAGATGTAACTTGTTTTTTTTTCCTCTGATGAGTTTCACTTGGAAAATGTACATGGTCAGAAGGTGTGATATTAAACAGAGAGACTTGTTCTAGAGAGAAGTGGCGGGGGGCTTTTATAATGATTGTTTCCTGGTGTTAGCAGTGCAGTATTCACCTCAACTGGATCTGAAATTTGATATTTAATTGCTAGAAAGTTCCAAAGCGAGGGTTTAATCTTTCTCGGATCGTGATTCTGTTCCTCCTGGATGCAAAGAAACATGGCATGCAACATTAAATAAAATATTTTTTTCTAATACAGTATATATTTCAGTATTTAAAATAAGGGAAGAAAACTGATATTTCATTTTTTAATTCCAGAATGGGCTAGAGATACGGAAGAATTATATCTAGAAATAAGATTTAGAAATAAGTTTCACACAAAGATAATATTTATATATATAGAGGAGAAACAGTTCAATTCATAACAAGGTTTTGCTTATACTTTTTGGATTAAGTCTCCAGGCTCAAGAAATCTTCCTGAGGATGATACCAACTTTATCAGAGAAGAGAATTTTCCCAAGAAGTCTGACATGACTGAAGAGTTGGGAATAGATCAGTCCCGTAAGTGAAAGCAGAATGGCAGCGACTGGCCTCAGAACAATTATTCTGCATGACTCGTGTCCTTTGCCTGTTTGTCCTAGCGTTGGCACGGAATGTGTATTCCGACGTTCCACCACGGACAACGTCAGGCTCACTTTCACATTCCGATTTGAGGCAGACACAGTGGAATTCATGGCAACCTGACAAGGTGTGAATTGACTGTCCCTTCTAGATCTTGTTGGCCTCGTTTCCTGTGTGTTCACCGTAGCAATTTCTTAGTTTTCAAACTGTTTTCTCTCAACTCTGAGAGACGTTTCAGTTGTTTAGAATGATGAGAGAGAACAGAGCTATAACCAAGTTTTTTTTCCTGGTCCTTCACTTGACATGTTAATTCTTCATCTGTAGATGATTTCATCAGCAGAACTGACTTCTTCACTTGATCCAGCTTCAGGAAGCGAGGAAACTATCGGAGACATCCAAGAGCCCCTGACACACAGGATCTTGCCGAGTAAACCAGAACTTTCAGAAATGTGTTTCAGTAAGAAATTATAGTTTATAATTGTACTTTACGGTATTTTTGCTAGAAAATCTTTTGAGGATTTTTGAAGTTACCCTGGGTGTTGAACACTGAGATATGTCTGGGTAACTACAGAGTCTGATTTGGGTTCATCACACGTTTTTCCTAGTTTTGTGAGTGATCTTATTGGAAAAAGGAGCAAATGTTAAGCTGTTTGTTTTCCAGTCGGCAGCTGTCACTGACCTACCAAGAATCTCAAATGACCTACAGAACACGATAATGTTTGAATAATTTGTACCAAACATTTTCTTTTATACATGTAGAGTGCCTACAGAAGTGTGTTCTGAATATAGGGATTTAAGCATTAAAAGAATTACAATTGAAATTACTCGTGTCATATGGAAATTTAGCGCGGTACTGCACAGGCGTGACAGGAAGAGCTTGCCAATTAGAAGACAGGATGTGGAAGGAAAAACTCGGAATTCTTTACTTATCTTAGTTTTTTGTACATCTGAAGTTAATGTGCCGTCTGTAAGTGGTACAAGTTGCTTGTAAGATGTATTTGCTTTACAGCACGGGAGAAATCCAGCTATCCAGAGGGATGCAGCCTCTCAAGATTGAAACTTGCAGTTCAAACACGAACCCCGTTTGTCACTTTTCCTGTTGCTGAGGAGATTCCCGGCGCGGTTTATCCAACTGACAGCGAGGAGGTCCAGCCGTCTTTCGGCTCTTCAGCAGCCCGTTTATGCAACAAGTCGGCGGTATTTCCTTTAAGTGCTTTTGGCCCTGAGGACAGAAATGATGAAACCTCTGTGTTTGGAGAGTATCCGGAAGAGAGACAAAGGGAATCCATACAACTGGTGTTCCCTAAGGTGACTTCTCAGCATAGACAAAGCAAGTGGCTAAAATATCAAAACAGTGTTCAGTGTGACTCGATAACTCAAAACAGCGATGATGAGGAAGCGAGCGATGACACCTGTGCTGAGAACATCCTTGGAATGCCGTTGGGTGCCACAGGAGAGAGCAGTGCTGTGGATAAAAGCGCTCCGGGCTCTGCACCCCTGCTGACAGCCAAGAGCATCCTTGGGAAACGCTGTGCGAATACCAGTGGCCGAGATGTGATTTCAGAGAGGAAGTTACTTTCTCTGCACTTCAGTCAGACGCCTTTGGCTGAAGCGACACAAAAGGTGTTAAGTCATCTGAGCTGCCACACCGTAACAGGAGACAGCCAGGTGTGTAACTGCTCCAGCAAAACCTGAAAAAGTGACAGAAACACGTTTTTCTGGACAAAGTAAAGGTGTTTATCTGATATCCTGCAAGATGTTATCAGCATGATTAGATCAAGTGTTTCTACACAGGAGTCTCAGCTATAGAACAGCAGCTGCTAATGGTTTCTTTTTCTGGTTTTTAGGACGTAGTGATTTCTGAGTTGTCTTTTCCTAACGTGGATAAAGTAAAATACGCTCATCTTCCTAAAAGAAAGATTTCCATACCAACTGTGTTCCAGTCTCATGTTCACTACAAGCAGGTTTTTAGAGCTGCTCTGACAGGTACGTCTAACAGCATGATCTGTAAAACCCTGTCATTTTTCAACAGTGTATTTCTGAAGCTTCAGAAAGCAGGATGAGAGGGAGAGAGATCATCAATATCATCTATTGCAACCACTGTGTGCATTTCCTTTTGGATATGTATACTGAAATATATCCAGTCTACACCCAAAATTCCAAAGACAAACCAAAAGACCAGTACACTTCTGTTCAACTACGTGAGCTCGTGTCTGTTTACCAGTCTTCAGATTCCTATCTAAGCGGTGCGGGATTTTTAACAGTTAGTTAGTGTTCGGATCATTTGGTGCCATGTACTTCTATGTGATTTGAATAAAAGGAAGGCAGTTAGAACAAAATAATTGCACGTGTAGTATGTGAATTTTGCAGGTCACATGGTTTCTTGGGGACTCATATTTTGATTTCGAGTCGGGACTGCAATTTTCAAATGAAAATGCATTTTGATGTTGTGTAAATGTTTTAATACTGTGCTAATTATTTTATTTTCCTTTCTTCATCAAGAGCAATTAAACATAATACTCTTCGAGTTGTCACAAAGATTACACAGCGCTCTTTCGAAAGTGGATGTATCATTTCAGACAGCGTCGGGAGGTGGGCAAAGTGAGAGCCAGGAGAGCCGCGTTCCGCTCTGCAATCACATGCATCCCGCTAAGCTCCTCATGGTTAAAAAAGAAGGTCAAAACCAGGTGCTGTTTATTCCTTGTCTGCGGACAGTTTGGGGTGTTTGTTTGGCATTCAACTGTATTGTGGGAACAATGCAGAGCAATTCTATATGATTTACAATTGCAGGTTAAAGGAACATGTGGTAGGGATCGCTTTTCAGATCAGTTGTAGCATCCACTAGTGTCCAGAGTTGTTGATGTCATAGTTCTCTCCATACAGAAACAGCTTTATATATGTAATATATAAATTACAGAATATATGTTACAATATATTATACTACTATAAATATATAATCTCTAGGTTATATGGAATTTCTGTAAGGTATGATTACACACACTGGCTTCAGAAGCTGAGAGTTTTGGGAACACCTTTGTGTTTTTCAGTCAAACACAAGTGTTTATCTGATTATTTCTATAGTGGCAAGTACCAGTCCATTGCTTTACTTTTTTTTTTTTTTTTTGCTTGTTTGTTTTAATGTCCTAATGGTCTTTTTTTTTGGTTTTGGTTTTTTCCCCTCCCTAGGGTCGTTTTTTCTACGCTTGTGATGCCCCGAAAGCTGAACGGTGTTCGTTTTTCAAGTGGATGGAAGACGCGAGCCCCACACAGATAAAATCCGGACCTAGCGCGGTGCTTGATGATATAAAAAGTATTGGGACATACCTCAGAAGTCAGAAGATTTCTGTCTATGAGGGATGCCAGCTTTTGGTGAGGTATTCTGAAACGCTACGCACTTTTCCCAAGTGTGACCTGAATTGAAGGATTTGTAAATATTCCAGTAGCTCTGGATTTCAGTTGCTTTTAACAGACACATTCTGTAACTATGCTTAAATATGCTACAATTCCGTGTAGGAATGTAAAAGCCAGACCAGTGAAGGAATAATATTCACAGCAATGGCATTTCAGGTCGGCACTCTTTTCAGCAAGAGTCAAAACCAGCAGCTTGATCAATTTCTTAATGAAATCCCTTATGATTGTTGCATTTGGATTACTGTTCATTTAATCTTTCGTAAGAGAATTTGATTTATTCTCTTAGTGATTCCATTTTAACGTTAGAAGTTGTATCGCAGGCTATTCTGCGCTGCTTGAACTGTAGAGGAAACAGTTTAATTAGGGCTGAATATGAGAGAAGTGTTTTGCAGCCAAGATAGATGTATTTAAAACTTGGTTATGTAAGATGATGAACAACCACTGAGATCTGCGCTGTATCATTTGGTCCGATCTGTGGAGCTTTCTTATTTTTGGTGGTGAATCCAAAATAGGCCAATTGTTTACTTACTTTTTCTAAAAATTACAATTTAACAGGAGAGCCTTTGAAATTCAAACACAGCAGTGTAGTAAGTTCAAGAAATTTATGAATACACATGCCAGATTTGACGGCGATTCCAAATCCAAATTATACCTCAAACTAAGCAGGAAGGAGCATTACTCTCTCTATAGCAAAGGTAAGCAAATCTTAAGCATCAGAAGAATTGTCCATGTCATGTCGTGCCTTTTTCAAGTTTTAATCTGCAAAGAGAAAAACTGAATCCTATTTTTAAACTCCTGGCAACCCTGATCATAGAATCATAGAATGGTTAGGGCTGGAAGGGACCTTCAAAGGCCATCTAGTCCAACCCCCCTGCAAGGAACAGGGATATCTCCAACTAGATCAGGTTGCTCAGGGCCTCATCCAACTGGGCCTTGAACGTCTCCAGGGATGGAGCAGCCACCACCTCTCTGGGCAACCTGTTCCAGTGTTCAATTCGCTATTCTAGAAGGACAACGATGTATCTCGAGAATTCATCTTTTCTTCTAAATACTCAGCTACTTTAGAAAAACATGAATTCCGTGTCCTTTGTCCTTTCTGTGGTTTGGAGTGTGTTAAATCTGTGAATTGGGACGTTTCAGGAAAGCCCAGTTTGCCAATAGATGATACTTAAGGAGAACTTGGTGTAAAAATTGGTGTTTCAGGAGTTGTTTCGTATCTCTCGTGACTTACTCAAACGTCACAAAGTCTGTGTTTTTTTGACAGATGATATCTGGGTTGTTTCAAAGACTCTCAACTTCGATCCCCTTGATACTTTCATCGCAAGTAGTGCTTTCTTTGGACCATCCTCCAACAACGACGTGGAATTACTGCCGCTGAAAGGCTACTGTCCCTCAAACTGGCGATCCAATAGTGAGTTCCACACGAAATACTTCACAATTGTGGCAAACAACTATTGAGGGAAAAAACTGGCCAGCAAAGAAGGATGAGATTAGAACTTCTCCAGTCTAATATGGGATTATTCACAGTATTTTTTTTCCTTGTATCTTTGGATATGTAATTTTAATGCAGTACTTAATGCAATTAAGCCTGGGAAGTAGCTGGCAAGAAATTTTAAATGGGTGATGAAGAAACAAGGATAATATAAATAATGGTGTAACTAATATAATACAGAATGCAAATTGGCTGTCGGAATGTACTTAACAGAAATATGTTTTTACTATCCTTGAAAACATACAAACAGAAATTGCAAATAACTCACTATGGAAAATTTGCATTTATATAAAAAGCCATGTATTAAATCTGTGGTTTTGCTGTCCTGACATTCTTTGCTGTGCCTTTGTTACTACAGTCTAGAATGACTGAAAAATTCATGTTTCAAAATTCCAGAAAAAACAAATGCATCCAGTTTTAGTTATTTTCATCATTGTATTTTAAAAAGAAAATAGTACTAAACCTAGCACTGATGGTTTTTAATGAACTGCTGACCTTTTTATTCTTTAAGAAGCTGTTTCCAACTAAGTTGCAGCCATCCATTTTGGTTTTAACATTTTTGTTTGAGGATTTTTGGTAATATTTTGTCATCAGTGTTTTGGAAACAGTAAGTTTAGTGAGGCGTAAAAGCAGAGAGAAACAGCGTGGGTCTGCTATAGATGTCACAGAAAAATGACAAATGTGCTGCCAACCAATGCAAAAGTTTCTTATTTTTGCTGTTGAATCAAGGTAAAGTTTTGGGTTTGTTTTTTTGGTAAAAGAAAGAGATAATGCTTTATGTAGTCATTCTTGAGCAAAGCACAATTCAGTGAGACTATGTTAAACAAACTCCTCTTCTGAGTTACATTCAGAATATTCTAAAAAATACAGAAAAAAAATACTATGACACCCGAGGTCTTCGTGGGCATACACGCTGTCAGAATCATGGGCTTCAAATGCAGCTGGAAGTTTGGTTTTGTCTGTTCCCTGAGTGTGAGTTGCAGGACTGAACCTCTCGAGCAATCAGGCTCTAAAAGAGTTAATGTGAAGCTTTTCAGTCGTAACGCTGTCGAATCACGGCATTTTCTTTTCTCTTAGGAAATTTTTGGTCCTGACTTTCTTTGCGATCATAAATACAGATTATTTTGTAATTCTGTAACCATTACAAAACTAAAAGCCTCAGGTGTATGCAAATGAGGCTTTAAGTGATGTTTAGTTGTTGGCAGTGATAAACACCAGCAAAATAGAGGTGGGTGAGTTACTCGACGTATTAGAAACCTGGTACTTAGGTAATCCCTGAGCACTGAGCCTTAGGAAACTGGCAGGGAATTCAGAAAAATACAATTGAACACTTATTCTGTTCTCATACTCTTTCCGAGGCATCTGATTTTGTACACTTTGGAAACAGGCTGGATGGAACTCGAGTCTAGCCCGTGGGAGGTCTTGTCTTTTTAAAGAAAATATCTGCTTAGCTCTTGTGATACAGACAGTTTACTTAAAAAATTCACTTCCTAAACTCCAAAGCCTTCTAAATATCTTGAGCGTTTCTAAAATGAATAGGGAATTTTATCTAAGCTTCCTTCCCAGAAGGTTCCTAATGTTGGAATCACAAACACCTCAAAAGGACCCATCTCGGAAAGAAGGGCTTAGAGCTCTCTCCTCATCTATTATCAGACACAGTAACTGGGTTAACTTGGTTTCTGTCACGGGAGGCTAATCACTTTTTTTGGCATTTTGTAATTAATTTATCTAGCTGCTTTGAAATTCGGGTAATTTCATTTTTTCCTAACTTTATTTCACTGTGGCCTTTCCAGTGGTCGTTCATGCCTTGCTGGTTTGTAATGCTAGCGGTGAGCTTGCATCTTTAAGAAACATGGAGGAGCACTTCAATCCATCTACGTTACCATTAATACCATTTCTACTGAAAAGGTAAGTTACTCCGAACGTGCAATATGTCAGGAAAAAAAAACAAAAAAAAATACTATTGAGTTTGCCCTAGTAAAAAGTGGATGAGGAAAACTGAAATCGGAAAAAGAGTGCAAGGAATGAACTCCTGACAATGCAGTTTTCGTTGATGTGGAAATGAAAACACAGTGGTTGTGTAACTCTAACTCCATTTTAAGTTTTTTTTCCCTTAAAACTTACCTGCAGCCCATGTTTTACAACCTGGAGATTAATATTGGGAGTTACTACGACCATTAGGCTGATAGTACAGTCACTGACTGATCTGTATTAATATATATGCCTCACAGGGGTTCAGAGGAACTGGTTTTCTTTCCCAGTTTTTAGAGTCACTTGACACAAAACCTAAAAATGAAATATTTCTGGCAGCTGGCAATCATGAAGCCTCGGCATTTCCAAGTCAGCTGTGTCAGACTTATCAGAACCCTGAGACAGAAATTACACACGTGCAGTATTACACCGCAACTTTCGACCGCTGTATTTCCCTTAGGAATTTGGGTTCAGAAAACACTCCAAACAGAGCCGACAGAAGAAAATTTATTCCACCTGCCATCAGCCTGAAGCGCGCCGTGATGTACGGGCCTGTCAGCACTGAAGTGGCCATGAGACTAGCGACAAAGATGATCCAGACGTTCTCGCTGAACCCAGATCAAGCTGCCTCCCTGGTGCAGATAGCTCAGATGATGACCTCATGTGAAAATTCCCAACCAGCAAAGGAACATCAGATCTTCCCTCTCACCATCATACGCGGTACGCGGCAAAGAATTGGGAAATTTGCTGCTGTTGTATCTTTGCAAAAACGTGAATGAACATGTCACGCTAGTGTTAGTGAAACGCTCCTGAGTTCTCTCAGGGACAAAAGAGTAAACTTGTTTCCATACTTCTACCTTTACAATTCCAGGCAGACCTAAAGGGAGGTTCTTATGTTTAGGTTAAATGTTGATTTGTTTTAAATGCAGTGCAAAAGGTGAGCTTGGATAAACTGCCTCCATGTATGGAATATCCTTTCCATACATGGTTTGCAACGCTGCTGTCCTCACCTACTTCATGCATTTCTTGAAAATTCATGTCTTGGATGAGGCCCCTCTGATAATGACCTTGACATTGTAACATCTGTCAGCACAGAGCTTTTGATCCTCCAGTCTGCCCTCTGCCTTTCGCAGGATCTTACATAAGCACAGAGCTCTTTCTTATAAGATCTATACACAAAATCAGAGTTATTTTGTATCTTCTGCTTATTTCCTTTTGTATTAAAACCACTTTTTGTCATGTATCAGCTTTGCTAAATTATCATATAATTTTTTTTCTATTGCACATTATTCCGTGCTCATTTATACTTCCTTCAATCTTTGTTTTATCCCTTTTCAACACACACAAAAAGGCCAGTAACGGTTCAAAGATACTGTTTTTTTAAATCAGTGTTGAAAAGCAGCTACCATAAATCTAAGTTTTCAGATCCTGTCCAAGTAAATAATGACAAAAAACGACAATAATGACACTTGTAGTACAGATACCACTAGACTTAAATTGCCTGAGCTTTTGCCAGGCTGTCAGACATATCCATCTAGCAATAATTATTAGTCTTGCCAAAATAATAATCTCTCAAGTTCCTTCTCCTGTACCTGAGGACACGGTATGAGGGATGTGCATGGCAGATACTTGCATTTGTACTATTTCAGTGTATTGACAAGACTCCTTAGCAAGTGATGCGTGGATTCAGCCAGAAAATTTAGGAAAAATGCCTTAGCTTCTCCTCTTCTATAGTTTTTTTGTAAACTTACCGCAGGCAGTAAACGTGAAGGGTAAGGCAACTGCTTTCTCCTGGATGCTTACAGCTGCTGCAGCAAGCACGTGCAATGTTTTTACAGGAATCACAGCACAATATTTCGTAAGATAAACTTAAGTTATAACAATTGATCAAAACTGTACTTTCTAGAAAACTTTCACTTGTAAATTTGGCTTTTTCTTCCAAAATACCAGGTGTTTTTGGAGCCGGAAAGAGCTATCTGCTGTCTGTTGTGATCCTGTTCCTAGTACAGCTCTTTGAAAGCAGTGAAGCTACAGAAGGTCCAAGGGCAGCTCCATGGAAACTCCTGATTGCTTCTTACACTAACGTTGCTGTTGACAGGATACTGCTGGGGTAGGTTACGGAGATTTTTACAGACTATTGTTCCAAAACCAATAATGCTTTTACGTGGGAAAGATAATTGTGTTGGTATTTCCAGTATGACACTTGAAAAAGATTCCATTATTTCCCTGGAAAGGGCTTTAGTTTTACCCTTGCTCCTTTGCACAGCACACATACGGTAAAAAATTTAGAGTCAGCTGCACGAAGTTACGTAAGACAAATATTGGGCTCTGCTCCCACCAAATTTGCTGTTAAAATCCATCATGTCCGAACGTGGCATTGCTTAGGAATCTTTAGGAAGTAGCAGTAAGGGCAGGGGAAGGAGGGATGGAGAGAGAGGGAGAGCCAGAAAGAGGCTTGGGAAGCTTCAGCATGAAGCTAACATGAAATAAAACTCATGGTTTGGAAGGATAAAGGAAGGGAAAGTAAAAACGGAAGACTATTTATGAGAGGAGAATCCTAGAGGCATGAAGCGTTTTTGAGGTAAATCATGATGAGGGAATTTACTTTCATTTACTTGAGTTGTGGTCTCAGTTACTTCATCTGGTTAATTGCAGAAGTTTCTCTTCTTCGGTGCTCTGATGTGTCTGTTAAGCCTTTTTAGAACCACTTTTAAGGTTTTCAGAATTTCTTTTTATGTTTCTGTAACGTGCATCATCTCTTTTTCTTTGCAGTTTACTCGATCTTGGATTTGAGGATTTTATCAGAGTGGGAAGTATTAGGAAAATCACCAAAGCAATTCTTCCCCACAGGTAAGAATCCTTAGTCTTTGAGGGATCTGAAGCCAAGCTAAGATTCACGATAGTAAAATGACTATTTTGAAGTAATTCAAAATGTGATTGCGATGTGCCTGTCTCAGGCATACTACCCACCCCCTGCACGGTGGAGAAGTTTTATCTTGATTAAGAAATGTCACTTCTTGCTGAATAGAGCTAGTGCTTTTAAATGGGAAGTAGTAGAGGAGAACAAAATATTTAAGATTTGGGAGTGTACACAAGGAAGAAGAGCAAAACAGACAGACTTGAAATAGGTATGTACTGCTGTAGGGATAAGAACGAGGAAGAAGTAATCATAAATTTCATGTTCAGAGAATTAATGGTAACAGCTCATGAGTTCTGAACTATTTACCCATGTTATCTTTGCTACAGTGTTCTGGGGTTTGTCCTTTAACTACTTAAAAGTAAGCAACCTGCAGAGTACTTTGAACACAATTTGAGAGAACAAAGTAAAGTTGAAGATTACTAAAGATTAAATTTCCAATCCTTGGTGTCAGGAGCATGCCAAGGGTCTAAAATGGTGTGAGAATGGAAAACGCCTCAGTTCTACTCCACTCTGAAATCAGCTGTGTACTTGTCCAAGTCGTTTACTACGTGTATGTCTCTGATTGGGGTGGCAGAGTCTGACACGGTGGGATAAAGGTCTGTTTTAAAACAGGTTTTGTACTGGTCTGTCTCAACTGGATCCAGGTCAGATTTGTACATTGTTGTAAAGTATTTTTATGTATAAAGTACAGTGATTTTTTTATAGTGGGTGTTCACCAAACGCTGGTATTTTCAGTCATTGTAACACACATTATAAAATCTCTTTGAAGTTTACATGCTGGCTGCGGAAATGAAAATGAGCAGTTAAAAGAGCTGCTTGCTCTCATGAAAGAAGATTTAACTCCAGCTGAAAAAGTATACGTAAGGAGGAGTATCGAGCAACATAAACTGGGGACCAATAAAACTATACTGCAACAGGTACAGGCAGAGTGATGGGATGGGAAAGCGGGGAGTCGCTATGTCTGATCCGCGAGGCTCCGCATAGGGAAACTGGGAATCCCTTCTCACACCTGCCAAGCCCCTAGTTTTGAAAAACCAAATGAAAGTAAGGACTAGGACAGGTTTGATTCCACAGGTATAGCTTAGTGTCTTACCTGCGTATGACTTCTGAGTTGACCTTGCTGTTCCTGTTCAGTGACGTGGGACAGAAGCTCTCTCTGAACTTTAGTGCAAGCTGATTTCATATTCCCAACCTAGTTGACAAGGTGGGGAGAGAAAAATTTCTGAGCGCAGCTAGTCTGCACTGTCACCTTGAAACTAAAATTCATATAATCATAAAGGTTAAAGATCGGGACTGAGCCAAATCTATCCTAGAGTTGAGTATCAAGTGCCAATATATTTTCAGTAACTTTTCATCCAAGTATTACCTTTTAAGATTACTACTTCCTGTAGAAAATTCTTCTCAACTTCTGTTCTTTCCAGTTATTTGCCTTGTCTCTTCAGTCCTAGACTCAAAAAATCCCAGCTTGCTGTAGAGCAAGTGTAGCAAAGCAGATCTGAGCAATTTGTTTCTTCTGCTTATTCCGAGCGGTCCTTCCTGCCGCTTTTGCCGCTGGGGCTCAGGTGGTTTTGGAGAATCGTGTAATCTGAACTCTCTCGGTACCAGACCAGATGTAGTCGTAAAATACATGAATCCATGAATGATTCCAATGTACAAACACCCCAAGCATAAGAAATGGTGACCTTGGATCCGTCTCTGTGCCTTTTACTGGAAGTTAGAATAGAATTTTTTAAGGCACAGTGAGGACAACACAGCACGCAGCAGAACTGCTGAGAATTAATTCAGGTGTATTCTACTGCCAAAGCTACAGTCATGTACTGCACAGAGATTAACTATTAAATGACCTTAACTTTTTGCCTGCCCCTTTTCTCCTCACTACAACCAAGGTAAAAGTGGTCGGAGTGACCTGTGCTGCCTGCCCATTCCCGTGCCTGAATAATCTCAGGTTTCCTGTGGTGATGCTGGATGAGTGCAGTCAGATGACGGAACCTGCTTCTCTCCTTCCCATTGCCAGGTACAGCCTTCCTTTCGTGTTTTGGCAGGGAATTAACTTCTCATTAGCAGTGACGCAGCCTCAAATAATGGCCAGACTTGAACGTCTTGTTCAGAGCGTGAACTGTGAGGTCTCACCTTAGAAAGCAAGAAGAGTAATTTGAGCCCTGCTTTTATTGCCTGCCCGGAGTGACCATGGTACTTTAGCTGTGGAAAGAGGGTGATGGAGGAGGGAGACCGATGGGAAGCATTTTGTGATGCACAAACACAGCGCAAGCTTCCGTTATGAATAGTCTGACATCCTTTTTAGAACTTTTTAACATTCTTACTTAGGTTTCAGTGTGAAAAGCTAGTCCTTGTCGGAGACCCTAAGCAATTGCCGCCAACTATTCAAGGGTCTGAGAGCGTTCACGGAAAGGGACTGGATTTTTTTTTTCGACCGGCTTTGCTTAATGGTACGTACTGCTGACCACATCTGTGGAAAAGATGGAGGGTGAAATCGCAGGTCTGTTGAAGCCACTAGAAGAATCCTGGCTGAGATGTCAGAGGATCAGGGTTTCAGCCTGTTTTTTTTTCATTAAGCAGATTGCATCCTGGCGCGTTTCTCTGTAAATGTTATTTTCACACTGCACGAAAATCTGTAAGCGTAACAAATGTAAAACGAGAATGGATTGAAAAACAGTGAGATCCTGCCTTCTGATCTTTTTGTGCAGTTTTCAATCCAGGTGGGAGAATGAGGGGCGACGGTATTTATATATATCCTGTTTGTACAGAGCCACACAGTATACAGAATGCACGGAGGTTAAGTCGGCTTACTGCAGGAATTATTTCCACTTATTTCTCGTTTGACCTAGTTGGCATTGCAAAATATTCAATAGTTCTTTTTCCTAGTCACACTTTCTGTATCGTAATTCTCTAGGGACATAAACCCATACTTCTTCGGACACAGTACCGATGTCACCCTGCTATTAGTGCCATAGCCAACGAGCTGTTCTACGAAGGAAATCTGATAGACGGTGTTTCTGAGAAAGACAGAAGTCCTTTACTGGACTGGCTTCCAACACTATGTTTTTATAGCGTTAACGGGGTAGAGCAAGTAAGTTTTTAAACTTTTTTATACAAAAAGTCAATATTGTAGGTTTTTTTTCTTCCATTCGATTTCTTTTTGTGAGAGCTAAATGGGAAATCTTTTTTCCCTATTGCCAGACTGAAAGAGACAACAGCTTTTATAACATGGCAGAAGTCCATTTTACAGTCAAGCTCATCCAGTCTCTTACTGCAAGTGGCGTAGAAGGATCTGCAATTGGTGTGATTACTCTTTATAAATCACAGATGTATAAGGTTCGTATAGCACATCATCAATAAAACAGTTTTCTTAAATGTACTTGTTTATTCTAAACATAGGCTCCATTTCAGCTAGGAAGAGGAAACCATAAGTGAGAAACGAATGCTTCCTCTTTTGTATTAAAACAAATTTAAATATGTATTTTTTCCATTAAAATATTTTAATTCAAAGATATGATTAAAAAAAAAATCTTTCCAATTGTTTACCTTCCACGTGCACGCTCAGAAAACCATCAAATTACACAGCACGTAATTTTCAGAAATGCATGGGGGCTGTCACAAAGCGGGGTGTGTGACAAGGACAGGTAACGGAGCCATCTGCGCGGCACGGCTGGAGTCGTACCTCCCTCAGTCACCCGAGGCACGACACGGGCAGCCGTGACTACCCAGCGACAGCGCTGGTTGCCACCCCGAAGGCACCACTGTGTCTGTTTTGTCAAACACGGGTTCACTGCGTGGTGTTTCCCTGCGATCAGCTGCGGTTTTAGCATCACTGCGCTCTGCAGTTTCTTACTTCGCCTCTTGAGTAGACTCCAGGCTCGCTGAGTGTGTTTGCTCCAGGCAAGTGACTGACGGCGAGCAGCCCAACTCATGGCCATCCGTGTTCCTCTGCCTGCAGATTCAGAAGGTGCTTAGTGGCACGCACCCCGAGGCTTCCAACATCAAAGCTGTCCAGGTGTCCACGGTGGACGCCTTCCAAGGCGCCGAGAAGGAGATCGTTGTCCTGTCGTGCGTAAGAACGAGGCAGATGGGGTTCATAGACTCAGAAAAGAGAATGAACGTTGCGCTCACCAGAGCCAAGAGGCATTTGCTGATTGTTGGAAATCTGGCCTGTTTAAGTAGGAACAGACTGTGGGGAAGAGTAATTCATCACTGCAAAGGTAGGATTTTTCTTTTCCTGTGTTTTTTGAAACCATGCGCTTATCTTCTTTAATTAAACTATGCGAAATACGCTTTATATATTAAACAGTATATTTATTACATATAAAATATAGTATACTGCAGGAAAAGGCAAGTATTTGCAAGTGTGCAAGCTGTGCATTTGCAGTTGTACCTGCAAACTGGTTTTATATTCAAAGGGCATTTGTTATCCAGTAAGGAGACTTCTTTTCCTTCTTCTGAAGAGAAGAAGAAAGCTTCTGAGAGTCACACAAAGAGCACGCAGGTAACGAGAGCTGAAACCCACTGCTGCATTTCTAGTCCTTTCCCAGTTTGCTTTCACGCAGTAGAGCCAGGCAGAGACAAGTTATGAACAAATTCTTCTATACAGCAGTTATTTCTGAATAGACAGGACTTAAATAAAGAAAAACGCTTAGTATCTTTGTGTAACTGTGGACTCCTTGTTTTTGGAAGATAAATTTTGAGCTGCTAGGAGAAAAACAATGCTATTGGAGATCAGGTAACTCTGCCAAGTAATTCCTGACTGCTTTGTTTACAGGTCACTGTCTTGTGAATACACGTGTTTGATTTATTGGACCACAGAGGGAAATAATAGTTTTTGAAAATCAGATTTTGAGTGTTCCTACGTATTTGCTGTGAGGTTTACTTCAGTTGAGTATTTACACATTTGCCAGCTAATCCTGCTTAAAAAAAAGAGAGGAACCAAAAAACCTTATGGTGCCTCTCTGCACCCGTTGCAACTCTGCTAGAAGGCAGATTTTCTTTTAACTAGAGAAGCGAGCGATGGAACAGTGTCCACATCTCTTAAGTACATCCAATAAACTCTGGCTTAATCCGACTCCCTGGTACCCACTGAGGGTCCCTCGTGGAGGGGCACATCCCCCTTCGGAGTGGGTAGGGCCTTACCTTAGCAGATACTCCAAAGGGAGGGCTCAGTCTCTAAAGCAACAGATGACTGCAAGAATAGGTGCCAAAAGAGTAATTATTTGATTTACCTACTTGGTTGACATCAAAGGAAGCGTCTCCTTAATGGTTGAACTCTGAAGAAGAACAGTTTTCGACGTAGAAATATTATAGCCCTTTGACAGGCTTGGGGGACTACATGTTCTCACCACTAATTGCATGATGGATGCTGTAATTATCCTCTTTATTGCTGCTTTTAGGACGGGAAAATGGATTACAACACGGAAGCCAGTGCGAGCAGCAGCTAGATGACATTCTTAAGCGTTATTTGGAGAAATGGAAGGAAGAGGAACAGAATAAGAAAAAGGGAAAATAAAACGCGCGCCTCCTTTATGAACAAAATATGGATTGCGTTGTCTATAAAAATTACCAGAACAATAGGAAATCTAGTATTTTTATTGAATGTGGGAACATTTTGTTTCTGTCACAGTGCACTGATACTGGTGTTTTGACCCCTTGTCTGTATGACTAAAATTGAATAAAGCAACTTTATCTGCTTGGTAATTGAAATCCTTTTATGCTTACAAAGTACCTAATTGTATTATTAGTGTTCCTTTGTTCTTTGTTCTTCAGATGAGATACACACATAAGACCGTATCTCAGCACAGTTCTGTCATCTTTTACAAATTGATGACACCTAAGAAGGAACATGGCCAAAACAACTGAAAGGATAAATAAACCTGCTTAATTTCTTCAAAGAATAATTACTCGTCCTTGGTCTTGAAGTCTTTGGATACAAACAAAACAAAATTACAGTAGATTGACCTGTATCTAGATTTTTTTAACAGGTTTGAGGGTAAGATCACTCACCTGTGTTGCGCAGCAATAAAAAAGCTGAATGATTTTGGTTTGGAAATAGAGCGTTGTTGCGTCAGAAACTCTGCGACAAGAAAAAAAGTTCATCATCTTGATCATGGCAGAAGTTTGTCCGTAGGCAGCAGGTGTACCAGCGGTTACCGAAGGAGAGTAGGCTAAGTGCAGGCGTCATAAAATGTCTAGATGCTGCCACGCTGTTAAACTTCTTCCGGAGAAGACTCGGAGGCACTCCGGAGAACCTGCGGTGGAGCAGGCATCCCGACACCACTGAAGTTGTTCCACGTAATCTTCAGTTTTCCTTTAATGCATCTTTGAAACAAATCACGTGTCGCGTTCAGGGATGCAGTTGTCCCTGGAAAAAAATCAGAATTGTGGGAAACACCGAACTCCAGACCGCTTCCAGTAAGCCAGCTGGCTCTGAGACTGGCTAGCCCAGGGCGACGTAAGGAGGGAGGAGAAGGAGGAAAGAGGGAACGCTTATTTTTAGGAAGCTAATTGAGGTTCTTGCTACACAAGAGTGGATCAGCCAAGGGATGGGACCAGGAATCTTAGGTAGGAATGTCAGGAGGTGAGGGTCAGTGCCGTGGCGCTGGGGCAGCCCTCGGGGAGGGCTCCTGCTGCCTCACTAGGAGGGGGACATGGTCCCGCTGAGGGACAACGTCCATATCCCCTTGTGGAGTGTCATAATTGTTTCTTCTAACGTATGGGATATGGCCGATCCGAGCCGGTAGGTGTTTCCTAAGGATTCGCACGTGCCTACCTTCGGAAAATAAACAAACCAACACGTAGTTTACGGCCGGGCCGTTCTCCCAGCCCTAAACCGGCGCC